TACGGGGGCGTGGCTATCTTGCGCTTCAGCGTCCTGTACCCTAGGCCACCGGCTGATGTTACCTCCAGCTAACGGCCATATCATTACAACTCGCTGTATACATGAGTGGATTACAGGTGAGCCTCATTTGACTGTAGAATGGCAGGAATGTACGGTTTTCCAGCTGCAACTGGTGGGAGTGGTCTGTTTTTAATATGCACTGGTATGTCTATTTAAAAGTGATGGTATGCTTTACTGTGTCATTCTGAGCCTGATGAAGGGGTACTACTGAGACCCCGAAAGCGCTTGTATTGGATGGCGATTTGTCAATAAAGGACTTTTTGCTTCAAAACGTTTGGTGAGCTGGTGACAATCCTTACTAGCTCTGCTACTGTAAGGTTGCACGACTTTTATCTTAGGAACATGTTCGAAAACCTGCCGAGAATCGTACGATTTTGGGCTGGTTTGTGGCATGTTCGCAAGATAAAAGCCGCACGGGCCGGTGTGCACAAGAGCACACTGCCCGTTCAGCATTGCAGTCATCGCCCCTCAGGGGGCGGGCTCGCCATCATCGCATGTACGATCTGCCTGTCCAAGATAGACAGATCGTACATTTTTTTAATTACCTTACAACCATCGCAAGACAAAAGTCTTGTGATGGTTGTAAGGTGTGTGCCCAGCATAAGGGGGTTATTCACAAAAGGGTGAAGAGTTTGGAGAAGGCAGGAGAAGTGAACAATTTAGGACAAAATAGCTGATTCGGAAAAAAATCTCCAATTCAGCTCACTTTCCAGTTCATCTCTGTTGGCCAAGATTGTTCACTTCTCCTGCCTTCTCCAAACTATTCACCCTTTTGTGAATAACCCTCTAGTATTCTGTGTAGCTGTAAGGTGACTGGCAGCAAGAAGTTAAATCTCTGTGTAGCTTAGTTAGCACACATAACAATAGTACAAACAAAAAGTATTATGTATAGCACACAATTTGTTTTCTTTTACATGTTATTGAGTACGTAAAGTGAATTTGCTCTCAAGGCTTTCAAATATACTAAACTATAACAAATGGAATGATTGGCATTCAGAGGTCTGAAGATGTCAGCCATCTGACTTATAAGGGGTCAGGCTGAAATGTTCATACTTGTAAAAAATGTTTAGCTTTTTCATTTCTGTGTCAGTGGTTGCCTAATAAAGATAAGTAAACTTATTTGCTGGGTTTGACATCCAACTCTAATTTGGATCATTCGCAGCGTACGATTATTCACTGCAGATTTAAACCCCGGTCCATGACTGATCCACTAATATAATGAAATAAAAAGATTTATGCCACTCCCACTTAAAATAGCATAATACATCAGATATACCAGTTGGTATCCAGACTGGGAAACTTTAACCTTGGGGGCAACTACAACCAAGTGGACCTTTGATGGTAGGGATAGATTTCGGTGGGCTAAAGAAAATGTGCCATGGTGCCACAGTGATTGGTGGGCATAGTGAAAGGTGGTTGTTCCTAAAGGACATCGTTTATTGTGACAAACGTTTTCACATCTTTCAGCATCAGCTTTCTTTGTGTCTCTTTGCATTGGGTCACATGGCATTTCAGAGCTGCAAAGAAATTTGGTGCTGGAAAATGACAGATGCTGTAATTCCAAGTCTGAACAGGGAGCACATAGCCATATAATGCCCAACATGTGTCACTGGCTGTGGGTCTTACATTGAATGATGTCCAAATGCTTATGGTTATCCGCTATGGGTCACCAATCCAGCATATATTCTTCGTATTTGCCCAGTCTTCCCCAGTGGTGGATTCAGGTAGGGGGCAATGGGACTATTGTGCCCCCCCACCCCAAGATAGTGCCGTGCCCTCCCTCCGCTGCAGCTCTGCAACCCACAATAGTAGGGCCGCTGTATGTTGAGGTGGCTGGGCCTAGATGGAAAGGTGCGAACACCCCAGGAGGCCGGTTATCTGTGAAGACTGTTCAGCCTGGCGGAGCCACTACTGACTCTGCAGGCAATGCCAGGCCGCACATCATGCTGGGTGAGAGATGCTGAGGACACTCTCCTGTGCTCCCTCCCTGCCTGCTATATGCTGTGTTTTGGGTCTCAGAAGGACATTAGTATATGTCCTCCTGTGACCCTAAACAGAACTATGGCAAAAAAGGTTGGGCTCTTTTAAGCATCTCCACCGCTAGCATTCAGGGCCTGAGAATTGGTAGGAGAACAGAACTGTACATCTGTGATGGACTCACAGTGCTGGCATTTGCTCTTACATCTTGATTACCAATGTGCAGGGAATTATGGGAGGTTAATATAAAGATGCATTAGCAGTATTTGAAATTATGTTAAATATTTTTGAATGAGTACAGGCTAACTAATGAGTGCTTTATTTTTATATTTTCTTAGAATTTTGTTTTTGGTACATTGTTGGTCATTCTTAATAGAAATATTTTGTTTGAAATGTAAAGGTATAGCATGTACAATAGGTAAAGGCTTATTTCACCTTCTGCCCCAAAATGTAAGTTATCAGTATATAATGAAGCCTTCTGTGATGTTTTCTTTGCCCAAGCCCTTTCTATTTTAATATTCCTTTGTTACCCCCTCCATGACTGAGGTGAATCCTTTTCTTGTCCTTTGTAATTGTCCAAAAATGCCGCCTTCCACTATCCTTTGATTCCTAGGTTAGTGACAGTGGTGGTCGGGAGCAGTGGGTGAGAGCAGAGGATAACAGTGCTGGACAGGAACAGTGGGTGGACCTGCGACTGATTTAAGAGAGCACCAGGGCAGAGATCTTACTGACTCTGCTAATGATAAGGCCATTCTGCATTGTGCACAGGACGGCCTGACCAGATACCACTGGAAATTTTGAATGCAAAGCAACTGAGCTATAGGATGGGCCTGGTCTAAAACTTAGCTACTAAGGATGCACTGGTACCAGTTTTCCGGTATCGAGTACAAGTACTGATATTTTTTCCCGGTATTCGCCGATACCCAAATACCGATACCGGAAGTCCCATTAACTGCTTGAAGACCAGGTGTTTAGATCCCCTACCTGGCCAGGCCATTTTTCAGTGTTCAGCGCTGCGGTACTTTGACTGACAAATCATTAGCCAATCAGGTAGCCGGGGAGCAAGTAATGACTCCTGTCCGGCTTTCTCAGTGGCCATCTTCCTGACCAATCAAGAAGCCGGGCAGTGGTTACACGCTACCCGGCTTCCTGATTGGCCGGGAAGCTGGCTCCATGCTCCCTCCATCACCAAGTGACGAAGGAGCATGGAGCCAGCTTCCTGGCCAATCAGGAAGACGGTCAGCATGTAATGACTCGCTACCCGACTTCCTGATACCGGAAGTTCGGGTATTCGAGCATTTAGCTGCATACTCACACAAATACTCAGTATCACCACCGATACTGATACTAGTATCGGTGCATCTCTATTAGCTACTGCTTTCCCAATCCTGGGAAAAGGGTGCTAGATCATTTTACTGGCACATAGTTAAGCTTGACATGACCAGGAGAAAATAGGTGAACTTAGCCATTGAATGGTACCATGTTTTAGAGGTTTATCATGAACATATCAGAAATGGAGAAGGAATGTCAGAACCTGTCACAAAGCTGGGCAATTCAAACTGATGTTGTGATGAAAAGAATGGAGATGGCGAAGTTACCCTTATTGGTATCTTCATGTCAAAATGACCAGTAGATTGAGGTGTAGTAGCAGCTGAAGTTATACTGTATATAAGCCTCTACTTTTCTTTTAGGCGTTGACCTTGCAATCATCACTCCATAAAACAGAAATGCAAAAAAACCCCCAAAACAATCCAAGAAGAAATGCTAAAATGAATGAATAAATAAATGAAAGTGTTTAATTTTCCCCAACAACAGGCACATTATCCCTCTACTTAATCTAAAGAGCAGATTACTGCACTCTACTCTATGACTTTTGAATGTAAACTTGGCTAATCTCCTTATGTGGTATTATGGCTGTAAATTACTTGTAAATTATTCATGATTGCTAACCAGAATGGAAAAATCTAACTTTTGTATTAGTGCTATCATTCGCCATTTTATTCATTCTAGAACGTGGAGAGAAGAATTCATTAGTATCTCCTTACCAGTCTCTGGGGTAAAGGATAAGTTTTTTCCAGACCAAAAGAGCTGAAAGAAAAGCCCAACTCTTAAAGCACCTGCCTAATGCTAAAGGACATATGGGCTGGAATTAACATAAGAGGGGGTTGAATGCTTGCAACCTTCTTGGTATGGGGATACCATATGCTTGTTGTGCCAGGCTCGTGTCCTCCAAGGGTACCAGGTGCATACATTTTTTTATTTTTTTAAAAACACTTACAAAAAAGGTTAAAAAAAACAGCAGAGCAAATTTTCACTTATTTCATGTCTTACTGGCTACCTACAGCAGCAGTATAAATTCACATATATTCCTCTATTCAATATCTCACTGACTAAGTACAGGAAGCATATGAAGTTCAGCAAATGACATTTACTATTCCAGAACTAAGCCTAACTAGCATAATGGCATAAAAGATCAACATACAAACTGCAAAAAAAAAAATGCTTTGAGGGGAGTTTATCAACTGGAGCAGACAAAATCTGAAGCAGTTGCCCATGGCAACTAAATAGCTTCTATCTTTAGTTTGTTCAGTTAAGATTTGAACCTGAAAGAGAGAAGCTGATTGGTTGCCATGCACAGCTGCTCCAGATTTTGTCTGCTCCAGTTTTGACAAATTCCCATTTTTGTATTTTTAGTCATAATCCTGTTAAATCAATCCAGGAGACAATATCTGCGATCAATGATGCATTCATTAATAGGGCAGTGCTTAGGAGTTAGGTCACTGGTACAATTATTGGCTCTAGTTTGTGTAGTGGGGGCAGTGCTAGGGTCAACATTGAGCAAAATCACAAAGGAAATAAATAGGAATCTGGAATAGGCACATGTACTTCAGTTGCAAATATAGCTAATATCAAATGGAGTAATATTGTTAAGAATGATTTTAGATATGAAGCTCTCCAATTACCTGGCTCATGTATTTCCTCTGTACCAGTGTAGGATGCAAAGACTTGTCCAGAGAATTTATGCTGCTGATGCCGAAAGTTGTTCTGTAAATAATCCATCACCATGACATAACCAGATTGCTGCATTGTCAGGATCTCACAGAAGAATTCCAGCTGGCAAAAAGCAAGACATCACATATTACATATTAAATTATTATAATATAAAATCATAACATCTAGCTATTAATTTTCAGCAATATTTGTATTAGGGCTGGTGGGAAGCCGACTGTGATAGTAGTGTTATAGCTACACAAAAATCCATTGCCTACAAACAGTCCTGATTATATATTATATTAAGTTATATACATTTTAACAACTGTAGACTTCCTTAAGCTGGTCATGCACCAGTAGAATTTCATTATAAAAAAATATTTTTGGCAATGTTAGCATGATTTTCTAATAGTTAATGGGGTCATAATGATGATCGTTTTTTACTGTAGTTATGAAATAAATCTCTAACGAACTATATTCATTCAGGAAACTCAATTCATTCCAAAATCGAATGTTAAAATCTAACAAAATTTCAACCTACCAGTGTATGCCAGCCTTATATATGGGTTAGCTGCTCCTTCCTTTTTTTACAATCTTTACACGATTTGATCAGATAAAATCTTATATGATGACTGTGCTTGTGTTAAACAAGTCACAAATTTAAACTAGCCTTGTATAATGGGTGCCTAGGCCTTTAAGGCCACCCTGAGCAGCCTGAAGGGTGGTAGATCCTGGCCCAAACAAGGATTGCCTCTTGCTGCATGCAAGAGTTCATATCCAGATCTAATTGATGGCAAAACCTTCTTAAAATGGGGAGGTCAGGAGACAACTAGAACATGACAGTGGTGCATAGGTGATACAGCAGACTGTCATGTAGCTGGCAACAGACTCCTTGGAGCATAATGGCACATCTAGCAAAAGATGGTTCATCAGCTGTGCCTCAATCTTGGAAAAAAAGGGAAAGCTGAGAGAGCATAGCAGGCCTTGGCTTGAAAAGTGGAGTATATGAAGCACAGAAAGAGAAGCCAGAGAGAGAGACTATCTATTAGTTTAAGGCTCTAGTAGTGACAGTTAATAAAGTATCACCTTAAAGAGGACTTGTCACTGCCAATATGCTATAACATTGGGGGGGGCGCTTGTAAAAAAAAAACGTTTAAAAAAATAATATAGAATAAAAGAAATGTTTTTCTGTAAAATTCTATATAGTCCCCTGCCTGTGTATTATATCATGTGCACACAAAATGGAAAAAAGGGCCTTGGCAACGAAAGGGATATTGAATTGGGATATTGATATTGAATATTAATATTGAACAGAAAGAACTGTTCAGTTTTGGTATACCCAAAACAAACAAAAAAAGTTTTATTCTACTGTTCTCTGGGGAAATATAGAGATTATTTTTTTCAGTCTAGCATGTCATTACTCCACAAGGTGTTAGATCTGTTTTATTTTTCTACTTTTTTAGCAAAACCCCACCAACAGCAATACATACATAAATAAATACATAAAATAAAGATCCCCCCATTCTGAAGAACTGTGATGTAACAGCTATGATAGAGTAAAACTAAACGGATACTATACATTTTCTATCATTTTGAAAAATGTATCTTTTTACCTGAGTTTGCGATATGGTCACCGTGTCCTTAAATACAATCCATTCTGCAGTCTCTGAACATGGTGGCGTTGTTAACGATCCATTATAAGTATAATATTTATCAGTATAGCTTGGCAAGAGGTCAAGCAAAACAAACGGTTCTAGTTCAGCTTTTTTACCTGTGTAAAAATATTGGGCATGTTAATTTATGCTACACTAAGCAGAACCAGTAGATCATAGTAATAACGTGTATGTGTAGCCAAAACTTTGTTCTTTAGCTTTTTATAGAGTAGAAGAAGGTTATAACCACTAACAGGTTATTTATAATCTGTCTATGTCCCACTGGAGAGATTTCCATTTACTTCCTGTCCTGGAAACACAACAGAAAATCAGAAGTAATCTCACCAAAGGGAGAATGCCAGTTTAGATAGTTGCCACTGTAACACCCATCTTCATTGGTAAACATACCCTCACTTCTTGCTATGGTAGCAACGCTAAGATTTTGGATTTGCCCTCACATTTTGCTTTGGTGATAATGGTCACTAAGAGAAATACAGAGGATGTATCTCCCCATCTGTGAAAAGACAGCAATACAAATTTGCCAGGGGGTCTAACCCTTTCCCACACTAAAAACTAACCAAATTAACCAAAACATTTGCAATTACTATAATGAATATTTCCCATTACAACAGTAGGAAGTCGTTTTGCTTATTGCAGTAGAAATATGCTATATGTCACAGGGCACAAAACCATTGGTGTGGGGAGTATCTGCTGGGCAGAATGGTAGAAAGCATTCCTATCTACCGCTAGTAATTAGGGACCAGTGATGCCAGTGATGTTAATAATGTAATTGAACAGTAGCTATGGGACAGTGAATATTGAGCTGTGTCTGGGAACAAGATAAGCAACTGATTTTGCTTGTCCAACCTACTGTAGGATTCATGAGATTTTTCAACAGAGAAATAATTGATCCAAGAGGTACTACAGTATGGTATGTATATAGGTGTAGCAGCATTTATGAACATTAAAGTGGGCTAATATTGTTATCCTGTACATAGACTATTACTGCCAAGTTATTTTTCCAGTTCTGGAACATGCCATAATGATCAAAAATAAGCTACCATTTACACGTATGCTGCGAAAGAAAGTGTATTTATGAAATATTTCTTGTTATATTCAGCCATCTTGTTTTTCAACCATCTTGTCTTTCTCTTTTGGCTTTCTCTTTCTAAAGAAACAAAACTATAAACATGTACAAGTTTCAGCTAAAACTAACTTGCCCTGTTCTGAAGGTAGTTTTGTAGATAAGGTGTAGGTGCATGCAAAGTTAGAATTATAATTACAAAGCCATGTCTATTATTTAACTGGTATTACATTTCTAAAGAAGAAGACATATGATTAAACTAAAGGAAGAGCAATGCAGGGTTGCACAGACTTTCATTTGTTAGCAATAAATAACATTTGCTACCCTTTAGATCTTCCTTTAGGAAACAACAAAAATCCATATTTAAGAAATAAAATTAAAACAAAAAGAAAATTCAATAAATTACAGTGAACTCACCAAAACGATGAACTCTATCTACACCATCAATAATCACTTCATAATTCTTGTTTTCTTCACCAATCTGCAGCAAAGCAAGATGAATTTATATTAATTAGCAGCAAACGATATCCCTTACAAAATCACATGTTTAATCTCTTATGAGCATTAGGATTCTATGCAATGGACCTTGGATGCTCTATTGTCTAGTGCAGCAAAGCGAGACATTGAGTAGTGTGTTCTTTTGGCATAGGGTATCAATTTTAACCAATCTGCACCACTAGTAAAAAGTTGAATTTTTATCTATATTGGGTCTACAATAAATAGAAATCTGATTGACTGCCAAGGCTTACACCTCAGATTTGCACTGTATTATTGTGTTAGCCGATTAAAGTAGGAAGCCTAATGGTTTTTGTGACATGTTACCAATTACATCTGATAGAGTTGAAGTAGGGTTGCCACCTTCTCTTCAAGCCAAACCCGAACACTGTAGCGCCTCGCGGCAATTTTTTGGTAAAATACACTATGCGCATATTTTGTGATTAAATAACATTGGAGGTAATCACAAAGATGCCAGTGTGCCACAGATCCACAGATATACAATCTGTACACAGTGGTGTACTATTATGGGTGGCAACCCTAAGTTGAAGCCTTGTTAAAGGGAAACAGCCTGTCCACTGCACAATGAATCAGCACCATTATTTTCGTCCAATTAACTAGGAGGCAGTCGAGGAATCAGTAAAGATGAACCAGAAAGTAGTGTAATCATATTCCTGGTTGTTTAGTGTGGCAGAACTGTGCAAGTCACAAGACTGGCTGAACAAAACTACAGTTTCTTTGTCAAGTTAGATAGCAAACATTTGCACGTTTCCCTAGAGTTCCAATTTAAGTATTCAGATTTGGGTTATATACATTTACTGCTGCATAGAGTTATGCTTCATTTGATGTTACACTATTGATTCATTTTAAAGAAACATGAAATGAGAATCAGTGAGATTTAAAGCCCAGCTTTCACACCATCATTAACGTTACTTGACAGCAATCAGATACAACAAATGAAGGGTTGAATGTGATTGGATTTTAAAGAGAAGCACAGACAGTTCTAACCAAAGACATTTTGATAAATGAAGCTTAGCATGGACTATAAGTGTAATAACCCTTATGACAAGTCCAATCTGCCATGTAAATTAATATTTACCCAAAACTAAAAAAGCTTTGTCTTGAGTTGGGCTTTAAATGCGATCTATAGTCAAGAACTAAAAATAAATATGTATTTCTATATTGAATTTCCATAAGTTCTAGACCACTCCTAATAACCATATCCATCTAAAAATTTGTAAAGTTACTTATGCTCATAGGTTGTACTTCCTCGATGCAGTGACACAATTTTGCTCAGCTCTGTGAATATGCACTTTCTTGTGTCACCAATCTAACTAAGCCTACAATCTCAACTACAACTCCACGTCTGAACTTACCACAATGTACCATCACATTGATTGCTAGAAGCAATGCAATATGGGATTTGTAGTCTCGAGAAAATGAGATTGCATCACATCAAGCAGCAGGGAAAAAGCTGCACAGTACACTGCACTGGGAATCCAGGAAGTTGTTGAAAGTGATGAGCAGATGGAAGACAGCACTCACTACATAAAAGGGATTTGTTCAAGAAAGCCTTGATTGCATTATGCAAAACAACTCTAGTATGTATTCCTATTACAGTGCTGATGTTATAACAGGATAGTGTATGCTGGGACATTAAAACTCATTTAACTAAAACATTAGTGAACTACTTACGATGCAGATAACACATCATTAGGGAATTTTACATTTTATTGTGTGGTAAACCCTATTTATCAAAATGTTTTTCTTAAGAACTTTTACAAGGTTATTCATTAAAGGGTGAAGAGTTTGGAGAAGACAGGAGAAGTGAACAATCTAAGACAACATAGCTGAACTGGAAACTGAGCAAAATTGGAGAATTTTTCCAAGTGAATAACTCTGTTAGTGCTACTCCAGAGCAATCAATCGGATTTAAACCTTAATTATCTTCCATTTTCCTGGGCATGTTTAATTTGAATGGCTGCTATCAAGTAACACAAACAATGTTTGTGAAATACAAATTAATACATAACACCTAGTGTCTCTCAGAGTTATAGAACATAAGACAGGCCTATAATATTGCAGCACATACTAGACGGACTATAGTTAGTCATGACTTGGCGGATCATTGTCATGGAAACACTGTAAAATTTCTTCTCACAAATACTGCAGCTTTTAGGCTCATTATATGTAATCTCAAAGTGATTTCAGCTATATCAGAATGGTTTTCCACTGGTGTATGTTGAATGGCGGCAGCCTCAGGCAATATATCAGCCGCCATTCAACATACATTCTGGACATCCTGATCCTCCTCACAGGCCGGTTCACATCTGGTTCCCAGACCCACATAAGTAAGTACATTATACATATATATTTATTGTTCCTCTCACCTTACCTGATATGTTCGGTCCAGACAGTCAGCTGACCTAGTTTTGCGCCCTCTTGTTTCTCTCTTTGGTTTTCACATCCGATGCACTCATGAACCAGGAGACTCACCGGCCCAAGTGATTCCGTTCAGGTAACGAAGGGAAGGGGGAGGAGTCCGGTGACATCACGGACATCGACGTCAACGGACTCCTCCCTCCTTCCCTTCGTTACCCATCACGGACAACTACATCACCCGACTCCTCCCCCCTTCCCTTCGTTAGCCGACAGAGCCACTCGGGGAGGGGGGGGAGGAGTCCGGTGACGTCGATGTCCGTGACATCACCGGATCTACGACGGAAGACCCGGAAGCCGGCGGAGAGGTGAGTACTTTGATCGATCAAAATAATTTTGATCGATCAAAGAAATTAACGATTAATCGACAGATTAATAGCCTTAGGCTATATTTTGCAAGGGCAGCATGCATAGCTTGCAAAATGGGATGCCAACCCCTTATAACTAACAAAAGCATGCAAAATAATTGCATCACCATCATTACCTGTCTGTATCATCATTATAAAAAAAAGGAATAATTACTTCAAAACCACATCACCCTCAGTACAAGCCTTATGGCATGGTGGCATCTTTACCATGAAGCTTTATCTGTTTTGGTGCAGCTAGGAAATTATTTGCATAAAAAGACGTGAGTTGCAGGATGCTGGCTTCTAAATAGTATTACATTAATTTCATAGCCAATCGGAAGCTGGTAGCCAGTGCAAGCCAATCAGAATATTTTATCTTACATTTCACATAAACATATTTTCTCGAAGGTGAATAGCAACCCATGGGTGGCCATGTCTACAGCTATACTACAAAGGTACATTTCAGTGACCGGAAAAGCAGGGGGTACGGTCGGCAGTTCAGGTAAGTATAACTTTTTTTTTAGCATCTAGACAAAAATGAGCAGTTAACTGCAACCCCTGCACTGTAAGGGTTAATAAAATGTTTTCCTGAAGTGCTTGTTTAAATTAATTTACAGCTAACTGACAACTTCCTTTGCTGAAAGTCTGACTGCTCTTTTAGAAGAATATTTCCTAAGCTTAGTTTCTTCTTGCTAGTTTGAGGTCATGTCCTGGTGTACTTGATTTCAACAAGGGGAAAATACCGCCCATCTAAACATTATTTACACTCTTAGCGGCTTTAATTAATCAGCATTTGCTGATTAGAGGTGCACCGAAATGAAAATTTCTAAATCGAAATGGAAAAAAATGTCAGATCGAAACCAAAAATGATTTTTATTCTAACTTTTTCAAATTTTTAAAAATATTTTATATCTATTGATTTTTTAATAAACGTTTAAATTTTTTTATATTTTATTTTTATTTATTTAGTAATTTTTATTAAATGTTTTAATTTTTTACTTTACTTTTAGGGGCTTCAGGGAAATATCAGGGGTATACAAACCAGATTCTCTCCTCCCCGCTGGGACACAGAGCAGCGCCCAGCGGGAAGGAGAGAAATCACGTGTGCACCGCTATTTCAGCCAAAAAAAAGGCACTTTCGGCATTTTGCCAAAAGTGCCATTTTTGGCCGATATGTTTCGGCGGAGAAATATAGGTGCATCCCTAGACAAAATCAAATGTTCTTTAAGGTAGGTTCTCTTGGTGGAAGGCTATTGTTTTAGGCTGTTTTCTCTCAGCATTGAATGTTCTTAGGCTATTGTTTTATTGTATTTTCTTTTCTGGTTGAATGTTCTTCGGCTATTGCTTTAGGCTATTTTCTCTTAGGGTTGAAAGTTCTTTGGTTATTTTCTTTTAGGACCGAATGTCCTTAGGGTATTCGGAAATGTTACTTTCATCCTGTGAAACACAACTTTAATTTTAAAAAAACCCATTGTGCACATAAAAAAGGAAGGAAATCAGGTTCACTTATTGCTAGGCAGCCTGGCTTTTTGACCAATCAGGAATCCAGGTGGCATGTCATGACACGCCACCAGGCTTCTATGCCGTGTCCCGAAGGAAGTGAAGCCGGTGTTCTTTCAATAGAACACCGGCTTCCCAAGCAATCAGGAAGCCAGGCGGCAGGTGATGGCCCACCTCCCAGCTTCCTGATAATCTGGGCCCACAGATGCCAGTATCAGTATTTGGTATCGGCAAGTACCAGAAAAAAAATATTGGTACTCATACTCGATACCGAAAAACCGTTATTGGTGCATCCCCACTTTGCACAATTTTTGTTTTCCATCTCTGGACTTGCTTTATCTTAGCAATATTTTTTGTAAGTGAGGTCTCCAGAACTAGAAAAAGTATTCTAAATTACCGGTACGTCAAACTATAGCTCTACACAGTGGAAACAGGACCGTCTTGTTCCTGCTGGTGATCCCTTTATTGGTGCACCCCAGAGTTCTAATGCTTTCCCCACTGCCTGGCCACACTGTTTGCATTCTTTGCAATTATCTGAAATATCCACTTGTAAATATTTTGATTATGTGGTTCTGGCCAACACTGAACCCTTTTTATTGTACTCTAAAAGAAGGTTCTTTTTCCTAAATGTACTGATTGATTTATCCATTTGTGGCTGTCCCTTCTTTTGCAGCATATTAGATGAGATGGGATGAGAACCATAAGATGAAAATCATTTGAAAAGCATTTACACTAACACACCAAATTAATTAAAAAAAGTATCTTACCTTAAATAAAACAGATAAAGCTTTCACTCTTCCATTTCCTTTTATTGCATCATCCAAACTGCCAAATTGGTTAGCGTTAAAGCAGAAGATTTGCATCTGTAACCATGATTGAAACATAGCATTTTAACAATGAGCTTTAACATAAAAAGTTGATATCTGCATCTTAACTGCAAAAGCAGTTTTCAAAAAGCTAACCAAGCAAATGGAACTTTTAGCTGAGGGGAGCCTATTTACTAAAATTATTCACAAAGAATCTATAACCTGCTGAGGGCCCCTATTAAAATGATTGTGCAGTTCACACAGCATTAATAGGGCTTTTTATACATTGAACAGGCATTACCAGGTAGTGCTCTAACCATGGATTAGCATAAGGTCTATTCTTATATGCTGCAGCACAAACAATTGGCCATGGAGTGCATATTAGGAATGCTATTGAATGTAGCATTTTACTAAGTACTACCTACATTGTGCTTTGCAAACTAGAGGTAATCAAGATCTGTTTTCATTTGTAAAGTGTTTTAACAGGAAACTGTACAATGTCATTATAACGTGACTAATCATATTTAAAAACAATTTCTGGTATTTTTAAAAAATATGAATAACATAATCATTATCCATATAATAGAAATTGAACTTGGCATTAGGTTTTATCCATACTGATATAATGGTGTTAATATGAGTACTGCTATATTGCCATGGACTGGCCATAGCCCAATTGCTTGTTACCCAGGAGACCAATTTTAACGTTATTAGCCATAATTAGGTAGTATAGGATTTAAGAGACTGTTGATAATGACAGTAATCGTTAGTATGTTGGAAAATTTGAGTAAGTTGGTATTTGATTCTAAAGACCTTTTATTTCCCCCCAAACTTAAAGGAGTCCCAGTTTCACTGCACATATATTAAAATGTAATCTGTAAAGATGTCACTGTAGCAACAGGTGTTCAGTGATTGTTGCACAGACAAAGGGGTTATGGATATTTAATTGAAACTGATGAAAGAAATAACTGCCCATCTTCTTTAGAAGTATGTACAATAACAATTCTTACTTTAGTCAGTTATGTATTTTGTATCTTTTTTCACATAAATATAAGCATTATGTTTAATTTCCTTTCCATTTACACTCATGCTTTAAATTTTTCAATTGCAACAGCTTACATCCAATTTTTTTATATTCTAGCCAGTGGGGTACTTATGAAAACTTGGTATGTTTTCTTACTGTTCTCATTTAATCTTATCTGGTTTTCATGCTATATTTTCTAGTGTTAATGTAGAAAAAAGGGCAGAAATGGCAAGCATTATACAGGCTAAATAGCAGATAATAACTATAGTTAACGTGTATGTAAACCCTAACAGTGAACATCTCTTACTTGCTCCCTTTAGGTCTGTTAAATATACTATTGAAAGTGTTTTGCTATATCTGTTAGATAAGTGAAAAAAAAAGAGATACCTAATTTTATACTTAGTGTACTTTTTGAAGTCAATATAGCCACACAGAAATGTAGTCATTCTTGGGCATATGGGTTATACTGCTGCCTTAAGTTGATAAGACTTTCTTGAAAGAAACAGTTCTTAGGAGACAACAGCTATTTGGGTGGAAGTACCCATGACACTTCCTTGTTTGGAGGCGTTCACGCTTGAACCGGGTTTGGTCAGAACCTGAGCTCATCCCTACTGATAAGGATGATCTTATAGAAAAAGGAGATCCAGAATCAACAATACAGAAATCGGTTCCTGCTAGGGACACCGGAGAATTGCTACCCAAAACAGAACGGATTTATGAAGCTAGGTCACCTGTTGCAGTGAGACTGTCCTCAGAGTATCTTTTAAAAGACCTGTTGCACTTAATAGTGGTAAGCAACTAACCCAAAGTGACGAAGTCCTACTCACAAACCAAAATACAGTGCACACAGGCCTGTAAAGTGCCACCTTGCAATGCTCAGTGCTCAAAAGCTATATATCAGACTTTCTCTGTCACTTTATGAGGTATACTTACACAGCGAGTGATCAGAGATTGGGTTACACCAGAGGCTGTTCTTAAACTGGAGAGTACTCTGTGACTAACTAACACAGTACACAAGGGTCTGTAAAGGACCACAATGCAGAGCCCAGTGCCCAAAATACACATTGCAGTTTATGCTTGTCCCTTTGGCCTGGTGTTTTTGTTTGCCAGTGTCCAAACCTTCTGAAGGTGGATATATAATCCATATGTCCAGAAATTACTACATTCCTGTGTCCCCTAATATATGATAAAGAAATACCTGTTGAACATGGCAGAAATGTAGAGCTGTCCTAAGTTCAGAATTCCTGTGTTGACTCAAGGAGAGTAATTAGCTCTCAGAGTCCTTATCTTGGGACTACAGAATGGTTAGCCTTTATGTTGTGGAGATGGGAGAGTAGGTGGGTCTGAGTAGTGTGACACTGGACAACACAGTCCACAAACATGCTGTGTGTTGTCAGCCAATAATAGACTTAGGACTCGGGTGCATTTCTAACAGATCAACATTTATTTTTCGTACTTGCGGGTCTTTAAATGGACATACACATAGGAAAACATGCATGCATTGCAGAAATGTATTGCATATGTTTATTTTTCCCTGACATACACTTTAAAAAGCCTACATTCACTCTTTAGCCCTCATTTTTTAGCTGAATGGAAATGTTGTTTCCACAAAACAATCTGGTAAACCACAGCTGGATAAAGGTTCCATAACTGTGTTGATTGCATGAATGACTGGTAAATATATAAATATTAATTTTACTCCATACAGGGGTTGTTCTATGTCTACATAATAAATAGAAGCTTCATATTTCAAAATGCAATTTTACAGAGTAAGTCATGCTTAAGCTAGGTTTTCTTGGGCATGGCACTGAGCATTTTAACAGACAGAGCATTTGTGGGAAGCTTGATAGGCTAATATATGCTGAGAAAAGAAATACAATGCATTACCTCCAAAGGGAATTTCTGTCCTTCCAAACTGTGCTCTGAACCGTCTGAAGTAGCATTGCATTTTCCCCAGTGAAAATGTATCCTGCTTGCTCTGTATGCTGTATCTAAGGCACCACCACTAAGATAATAATCTCCTGTCAAGTTAATTTCCACTGAAAGAAAAAAAAGGTTGGTGAAATAAAGCAAAGATTTGGTTTTGCAATATCAGAATGAAAGGTTTTGTACAGAAAATAGGAAAACACTCTCAGCAAATCTTCAAAGTGGTTATAAGTACCATACCGCCCATCTGTTCCTACGTATGGGTAATCATGATATTTGGAGTAATAAAGAATTTTGCAAAATTACGCTGTTGGCTGCTCAATGTGAAGGATCTGGGTTGACAGTGGGCAGAGACTCATGGGGAATCAGCTCACTGCCATCCTCTGTCAAAAACAAGTAAGGCAGACCTAATGGGAAACTTGGTGCTCAAAGCTCCCCATCAAGTCCACCTTTTTTATGTTTGGCAGCAGACAGTAGTGGGCTGATTCCACAGCTGATGGCGGCTATGGAATCTGTTCACTGCCGTCCATTGTCAGTCATAACAAAGGCGGACCTGAGGAAGAACTAGTCTCTTGGTTTCCCCATCAGGCTCCTTCCACCAAAATTCAAAACTTCTTGACCACTGCATCTGCCTGTGTGACTGGTGCAATGGCTGGGTAGGAAGCTCAGTAACGTGTCTATGACACTCTTTATAAATTTCCTTTTCTAGCCAAAAAATTAACCTCTGTTTGGTACTCTGGTCTTAATTTCACTTTATTACTAAAGGCCCAACTACCCTGACTTTGGTCCACCCTCTAAGGTTAAGTCTAACCCACTTATTTCCATCCAGTGAGCGAGCTCTGTGATTTTCTACTTTAAGATGTTGGGAGGTATTATTATAATGGAATATTCTTTTCAACAGTTGTAACAATGGCATGTTTCTCCATGCCATGTTTTTTTACAAAAAATTTATATACTTCCCTAACGTCAGACAAAACAAGCACAATATAACCAGCACTGTTAGTGATGTTTTTCTGGTTGTGGCATTGAGCCTACAAGATAACACCACACAATAAAACCGTGCCATTTGACTATACGACCTCTGAAGTTCCAACTTAATTAATTATTTAAAGCATGCATAAATATTTATAAATGAAATACATATATACAGTAAACAATAATACAGTATTTGCATGACAGTAACGTTGCATTGTTAGTCTGAAAAAAGTTCTGTTACTGGCAGGATTTTCAGGTAAAAAACTTTGCACTACATTCACAAAAAAAAAGATTTACTCGTACAGTTAGGCATCATGCCAAACATATTGAAAGTTACGATAATTACATATTGTATTTGGTATCTGTGATTTTTATTTTAACCTTCCTCCAGAGGTTTCTAGGAGTGCCTTGATCAGTAAGTATTAGTAGATTGATCTGCCTACACTGACCATCATTGTATGGGAGACATTTTCCACTAACCATCAGTGTAAGGGGGCACACAACTAACCTTTAATGGTCAGTACATTTCATTTCATGATTATTACTGATAATACCGTAGTTTAATGTCCTGGGCGGGGGGTTGGGGGTCGTTGGGTAAAGAATGTTTTGCATAGGGGTATGCCACAATGTAATATATTAAGAGCTGTAGATAGAGCAATTTCAGCAGGGTTTATTTTAGCAGGGGATGCATGACACCTGTCCATTTTGGAAATTATTAGTATCACCTACCTTAATCACTCTTGCATGCTGCTACATTGCTAATAAAAATGATTGGTACAAAACCATCTGCTTACTAGAGTCTCAGATTTTGTTTTTGTATGTGAGTAAAAAGCGTGTAGAAAAATCAGTGCTCTTTATTAAAATACACAAATGTCACTTATTCACCTTTACGTGACAGTAAAAAAAATAACAGAAATGTCTGGCACGAAACATTTTGGAATTACTTATAGAATATTACAATGCCGCAGTTAGGTGTTATAAAAGCAAGAAAAAATTCTATTCAAATCCCCTTCTGTTGAAAAAACATGTCTCTGTATTCATGTTTTACATGCAATGCATTGATTTGGCTGGTTAGAGTAAAGTTTCATGATTCCCAGGGAGGATTTTAAGGTCAGCCTGTGTTACGTTTAATTACACATTGATTATTTGTCCTTTTTATGTAGTATTAGGAACTCTAGAGCATAAGGTTACAAAAAAATCAATGTAAATGATTCCATTAGATAAAAACTAAAGAACTTGAATTGGGCATGTCAATAGCTGCATGCAGGATCAGAGCAGTAAACTGTGCTGCGGATATCCAAATCTTAGCTACTAGAGAGTGCCATACAACAGCGTGTAAAATTTATAGCCAAGGGCTGGCCACAGTCCAACTGGATGATTTAGCCATACTTTGACACTGAGGGTATTGAAAGGGTTTATGTGCTAACCCCATGCTGTACATCACTGGACAAGCTTGACATAGTGCTGGGCCTTCCATTTCACGCTATTTCCAGTCTCATCATCAACAAAAAATAGTAGTCAGAGTTATAAGTATGTTTTTAGCTCAAACACATATTCAGTTATAAATCCTGGTATATTATCAATCCCCAGAATGCAGACCATGTTTATGACTGATATAAAGATTGGCTTTGTACCCTAGGTAGCAGATCACCTATATACCTATTTTATGCATTGGTCAAACAATAAGAGTTCTAGTTTATGAACTGACCCTTATAATTTATTATTTTCTGTTTATTTGCCTACAAGAAAAACATATAATATTAAAAGGGAAATTTTCTGTACCTAACCTATTTTTAATGTGTATTTTAAGTGCAACAAAAAAGGTTCTGTGTGCCTAAACTATTTTATTATAGAGCTAAATGTCTTATTTATAAAGGGTTTACCTTAAATTCACTGAAAAATCATTATACAAAGCCTTATAAAGCACATTATCTGTCATGATTAACAAGTACATGCAACCTTTTTAATAAAAGAATCACCAATATTTGTTCTAGTTTTATGTTAAATGTTGGTGCACTTAAAGTTAGACTAAACCTACAATTTTTATGGCCTGATTCACACTCTAAATCGGCTACGGTGCAGCAAGTATACTGCAGATATTTGCAACCAGGAACACAGGTTCTCCGATCAGCGGGGGCCGCTCAGCATATATAACTCAATGACATGCTGAAAAGAGCCAGGGTTTCCCATAACAGCTACATTCAAGACATGCCTCTGATAATATCTGTCACAGTTGCCCATATGTCAGCTCTTAACTACATTTTTAGGCCCTTAAATGTCATAGCTGATCACATGTGCAGCACCATGGCAACTGCAGATCAAATACAAGATTTAGAGGCAATAATGGAACTGCTTTGGGGGCCTCGGGCGTGAGGACCCAGCAAGCAGCAGTTTAACATTTCAGAGAGAGAGACTGTGGCGTCTGTGACAAGGTGAGTGATTAATGTGTTTTTTTTCACGGCCTCCCCAATGCTTCTTCTGGCCGGCCGTGTAAACTGACACCAGCCAGGAGGACAGTGTCAGACAACTGAGGATGTGCCAATCTAGAACATAGAATAGATAGCTGAACCTGAACGTTTCAAGTTCAACTATTCTAGGTTCTATAATGCCCCATTCACACCAAGGCAGATGCATTTCAGTGTGGGTGCTGCGCAAATTTTAGAAGGGCCGTTTTGGATGCACTGAAACACAATTAAAAACGCACAAAAAAGCGCTGATTAGTGCGTTTCCATTCAAATCTATATGGAATCTGCGCTGATTAGCGTGGAAAAAGAGGCTCAGGGAGGATTTCAGACGGAAGACGGTTTGGAATGCGCAGAGCCGCGCGATCGCATGAACGGTCCCCATAGGAATGTGTGGGATCATTCATGACGGCGGTTCAGCGCGGACTAATCCGTGCGACCAAACTGCCCTGGAGTGAAAGGGGTCTAACACCCCATCACACTTACATGTGCTCCTGCTGCCATCCTGTACATCTGCCCTGTTGTCATCCTGTACCTCTGCCCCACTGCCATCCTGTACATCTGTCCCACTGCCATCCTCCACACCTGCCCCGCTGCCATCCTCCACATCTGCCCCATTGCCATCCTCCACATCTGCCCCATTGCCATCCTACACATCTGCCCCGCTGCCATCCTCCACATCTGCCCCGCTGCCATCCTCCACATCTGTCCCGTAGTCATCCTCCACATCTGTCCCGGTGTCATCCTCCACATCTGCCCCACTGCCATCCTGTACATCTGCCCCACTGCCATCCTTTACATCTGCTCCACTGTCGCCCTATACATATGCCCCCGCTACCATCCTGTACATCTGCCCCGCTACCATCCTGTACATCTGCCCCGTTGCCATCCTGTACATCTGCCCCGCTGCCATCCTGTACATCTGCCCCGCTGCCATCCTGTACATCTGCCCCGCTGCCATCCTCTACATCTGCCCCGCTGCCATCCTATACATCTGCCCTGCTGCCATCCTATACATCTGCCCCGCTGCCATCCTATACATCTGCCCTGCTGTCATCCTCCACCTTTGCCCCACTGCCTTCCTGTACATCTGCCACACTGTACATTGCATTGTAGTATAATGTATTGCTGGGATTTGTAGTCCTCTGTACCTTGTGGTATTCTGCATTGCTGTACAATGTATTGCTGGGATTTGTAGTCCTCTAAAGATGATGGTATTCTGCAATGCTGTATAATGTATTGCTGGGATTTGTAGTCCTCTATAGATGATGGTATTCTGCATTGCTGTATAATGTATTGCTGGGATTTTCTAGTCCTCGATAGCTGGTGGTATTTTGCATTGCTGTATAATATATTGATGAGATTTGTAGTCCCTCTACAAGTTGTAGCCAGTGGCAGATCTACCAGGGTTGCAGCTGTGACAGGGCCCTGGAGGTCCACCACCATCCAAAAACCACTAGTATGTATTATTTTAGAACAACTTTCACATGACGCAAGTATCGGTTATTGGTATCGGCAAGTACTTGAAGAAACGTATCAGTACTCCCACTTGGTCTAAAAAAAATGGTATTGCTGCATCTGGGTCAGGATATGTGTGTGAGGCAGGAGGGTTGTGGAGGCCCACCAGAAAAATCTTGCCCAGGGCCCAATTAATATTAAAGATGGCCCTGGGCATTGTATTACTAGTAAGTTAAGGTGCACAGTAATTAATAAAGCCTCAATAAAGCCTCATATCATACAGGAAACTACAAGTCCCAGCATGCCTCAATGTCCCTGTACAGTAACCCCATATCTCACTGGGTGATATTTGGGGGGTAATAAGTTGGGGGGTGTACAGGCAGGGGCGTCCCGAGGCTGGGTAACACCCGGGGGGGAGACCAGGTGACACCCTGCTCTGACGTCAACGCACATGCGCGTGACATTGCCACGCGTGTGCGCGGTAGTCTTATTGACGTCTGCCAATGGCCATCTTAGTGATGGACACCGGCAGAGAGAGGAGGGGACGTTCACCCAGCGGCATGAGGTATGCCGCCGAGTCCCCTCCTCTCTCCTGACACTGTTGGTGGCACCTGGGTGTGGGCCGCACCCCCCGCATCTCCCTTGTGATGCCACTGTGTACAAGGACAATGAGGGTATGCTAGTATTTCTAGTTCATTTACGATAAGTCCCAGCAAGTTCTCATTGTACCTGTACACCCCCACATATCACGGGGGCGCAACATTTTGTTCTGCCCCGGACACCCATTACTCTGGTTACGCCACTGAAAAGTGGCCATCTTCAGCTGCAAAGAACAGTTTAGTTTCCAAGCTGGATGAGGTAAAATCTGGAGCAGTTGTCCATGGCAACCAATTAGCTTCTGTCTTTCATTTCCAAATATTAACTGAACAAACTGAAGAGAGAAGCTGATTGGTTACCATGCACAGCTGCTCCAGATTTTGTCTGCTCCAGTTTTGATAACCCCCCACTATATTTATAAAATGTTGATCATTATATATTTGCCACAAAGCTTCACATGTTAATATTTACCACTCTTGACTGGCAAGTCTAGTGAATTTCTAGCAGTCTTCTTATGGAAACCAGCAATGCTCTTTTGCTTTTGTTCCAGAATGGCCCAATTTGCCACAAATTCACTGAGGGCTTGCTCAATGCTAGTTTTTAAATACACCAGCATTTTCCCTGTGCAATATTTACCATCCAGCTTTGTAAATGCTGTGCAGGTGAATCCAGGCATATTCATTTGTCTGGATTCATCCATAAATATACCCTTAAAGGAGAACTATGGGGTCAGGGCTTTTCCCCATAGTTCTCCTAAGGGTAACGGTAGGACACAAACTAGCGTCCTCCCGTCACCCTAAGCTCAGTATACCGCGAGCTACAGCTCCCGGTATACTGAGACGCCGCAGCTCAAGCGGATCCCGACAATTGTGCCGGGATCCGCCCAGCTGCGTGACTGACAGCTGTGCCCACCCCCGCCCGTTCCGCCAGTCAGCGCTGGAGAAACGGACAGGGGAGGGGGGAATCCCTGAAGGGAGCCGTGAGTGACAGTCACAGCTCTCTGCAGGAATAGATCGAGAAGTGAGCGAGCGAAGTTATGTGTTCGCTCACTTCTCGATCTATTGAGCCGACCTGTGACAGTTTCTTTGTTACAGGTCGGCTAGAACTATGAGGCTGAGTGATTGTCACTCGCCTCATAATTCTCCTTTAAGTTAAAGATTCCTAATGTATTGAAGATATTCTTCAAATAACAGCAAGCAAATCACTATTTTCCCAAATTTTGTTAGAAAACGTTTTTAAAAAAGCAGTTACATTCTTTATAAATGAACCATAAAAGAGGGAGATTACACACATGCTTCCATTCCACTAAAACACAGATAAATTGCAACTACTACAAAATGAAAATTTGCTAATGTCCATTTGTACATGTAGCAGACTCCCAGTCACCAAAACCACACGAGGTATACAATTACATTGTCATCATGTAACTGTTAGATAATTTTGGGTTATCCAGCTTAAAGGAGTAAACCCTCCAAATCACCCAAGGTAAAATAGAATTATGCATCTAATACGTGAATTAAAAAGTGCAGACTCTCTTCACATTCCACTGAGATAATAACTGTAATCTTCATAGTGCAGTGAAACATCAAAAAAGAGTTCAAATTACCTGTTTTTCCTGTATTGCGAATTAAAGTATTATTGGACACTTGCTCCCAGCCTTGAAAAGTTAGTTTCTTAAGATTCATGTTCAGCTGTGTGAGCTTTTCATCGATGTTAATGGGAGATTGTCTGGCACCATTGCACGCTGGATACTTTTTCATCCAATTTGTTTGGTTAAAGCTTTCTGTAAAAAAAAAACTACTTTAAATGCATGCATTAGATTAACAATTTTACATAATATCATATGCAATTATTATTATTTTATTATACAGGATTTACATAGCACCAACAGTTTGCACAGCGAAAATGAAGGGGGACAGTACAGTTACAATGCAATTCCAATGCAGGAGGGTTAGGAGGGCAATTTCAATGCAGGAGGGCTGCGGCGGTCTCAGTATACCACAAGCTGTAGCTCGCGATATACCGAGCTTTGGGTCATGGGAGGATGCTAGTTTATGTCCTGCCATGACCCTTAGGGGAACTATGGGGAAAACACTTACCCCATAGTTCTCCTTTAAAGGCAGCTATAAATCTTAATATATTTGCTAGCATTGCGGCCAGGTTGATTGTGGGAATATGGCAGCCTCTTGCTCTGATTACTAAAGGGTCAGTTCATTTTCTCCATACAATGTGAACAATCCTTTTACTACACATGCCAATGCATAACATTGAATATAGGTGAGTATAGACAGAAAAGGTTGCTTGCCCATGCAGGATCAATTTAACTGTCCTCGGAGACCTGCAAGACCTGAGTGCTCAATGAACAGCTTTGTTTTCCTCAGCTAAACATTACTGTTTATGTCAACAGAGAAAGGGGGAAAGAAGAAAAATGTCTGTATTGGTTTTGCATTATTTAATGGGTATGAGTAGTTTGAAGTAGTTTGAGTAGTTTGAAGAATGTACAGTGATTTAAGAGATGATGGGCAAATATTTTATCATGCAGATTATATCCTTTAACTAGTGATACCATACTGTATATGCATGTCTATAAATAATTTAGATTTGTCAATACACTACTGGCTCCTCATCCTTACTGTGACCCTATAGTCTGAAGAAAAAGAAAAAAAAGAGGAACATGACAAAAGAATTTGTGTGAAAGTACCTTGAAATAAATCTTAGCATTTCTAATATTTTACTTTGTAAAATTGTTTCTTCCTAAATCTCTATGAGTAAAACCTATATATTTACAAGTGAGATATGCTACTAAATAAAATCCTTGTTTGCTTTTTTAGAATAGGCTACTAAATCAAAATGTTATTCTGAATAAAGCCATGTGTTAATGTTACAGTCCTTGTATGTCATTTATGTATGTATGTGATTGACTTGTTATTGGAAACGTCATAACTGGGGAATGAAGATGTTCATAATAAGGGTTTTGATACTGTATTTCTAACGTCTCCCTCTAGTCAATTATACAAGTTCACTGAATTTTAAATAATAGTAATACTAATAAAAATTACATTTTAGCATATCATTTTTATGGTGATATGCATTCACACAACAGTGAAAAGAAAAGGGTATGAAAAGGAAAAGTACAGAAAATCAAAAGCTTGGTGTATAAAATCAACACATTTACACAGAGGGCACATCAGTCATTAACATAGTGGATAATACATTTATAACACCCCTAACCCCAGCTAAACTAAAATGTGGTTAAATACAATTTAATATTATTCCAAAGTTTGGGCTGACGGTTTGTTTTGGCTAAGCCAACACTGCAGGATGACTGGGGCCAAAGTCTGGCTAATAAGTATTAGCTTATTGTATTAGCAAGCTGAGCACTTGTGATACCTGATCCATATAATATTAAACAAAATAACCCCTTCAGATCTGATCTGCCATGGATACAATGGTTTGCTAATCTGATATGCACATTTTAGAGCTTTAATTAAACCCTAAAGAATGTAAATAGTATAAGAATAAAAGCATAACAAAACAGACCAAATTATAAGATATGTCTTTAAATATCAACACATAAACAGATAGCACTAAGCAATATGTTAAAGTCATGCAGCAACCTAACTACATGATTCTTTTGTAATCCTAAAGCTAAATTCCCTCCTTAATAAGCCTATTAATCTCTTTCTCTGTGGAAGTGCATTTTCAGTTTAATATTTACAAAACACTCAAGTTTCTTTTCTATATCTTAAGCTCGTTCCAAAGATTTCATCCTTTTTAGGCACTTTCTGCATCCTTTGTTGTAAATGTATTACGTTTCAGCTAGTGTTTACACTTCAGAACAATATTACATTTGTCAGGTTTAGAGAACTTGGCACAAATACTGCGCACCTTCTAGTTTATTCATGTCTATTTAACAAGGTCTTTAATTTAAGAAGTATGTGATTAACACACAATATATAGCCAAACAGAGCATTACAGAAAAGCTAGACAATCTGGGCTGAACATGTGAGTAGAATGGAGAAGCTAGGCAGGATAAAACCGTCTGGTTGGTTGGTGTAAGGTGTGTAAAGATTAAATAAAGTATATTTGCGAAATGGAGTGTATATAACAAAAATGCTATATGTAAAGATCTGTTTGTTAAATCTGTTCTAAAAGACTTGAGAATCTGAACAAAACATTAGTAATGAACCGGTATTAGACACCCATGGGTGCCTACATGTACCATTAGTTATTTTAAAAAGTTCCCCAGAACTCATAAAAGCCAGCCACCTTTCTGAAGGCCACACGAAGTTTGAAGGTCTGTAGCTATTGACTCTGCAGACAGTTAGCTACTTCTGTCCACTGTGCGCTGACCCAGCTCGGTCATTTTACGTGGCCTACCACTTGGTGGCTGAGTTGCTGTTCCCAGTTGCTTCCACTTTGTTATAATACCACTAACAGTTGACTGTGGAATATTTAATAGTAAGGACATTTCACGGAACACCTGAATCCAATGAATTGGATTCTAAAGTAGCAGGATGAAAATGTATATACATACATACATACACATACTGTACATACACAATACAGAAATACCCAATTACCTGTATAGGACCAGTCTATTTCTGCGATTAATTTTCGTTGCTGTCTGTATCCATAAATCAAACCTAGAGAAAAAAAAACAGATGCAACTTAAGAGAGTATTCACATAATATAATTGACAGTATTTTAATATACTGAATAGTATCTATTTCTGCTATTCTTTAGTTAAACAACTGCAAGTGCACAGTCTTCTTACACATGCAAATGTTATTTATTGTTGTGGCAGTTATCAAACAAGACATCAACCTTGATCAATCACTAAACGTGAATAAAATAAGGTGTTCATTCATTCACTCAAGTATTTATTATGTTCTGGCAGTGCGTGGCAATGCCACTGTGTAATTTGGCAAAATGGCCACCCAGGACTCTCAGCCAGAGGGGCTGAGCGGCTCCAGGAAGCAAATACTTTTACCAGGAAGCCCTAAAAAGATGATGGTTGCGAGTGGACTACACCCTAATGCACTATCATTTGAAGCTAAATCACACGATATATTGATTAACTCATCTGAAAATCAAATACTGACTGAAATGTTTAATGATATTATTATTACATAGTATTTATATAGCGCAAACAGTTTGCGCAGCGCTTTACAATATAAGGAAGACATTACAATCACAATACAACTCAAGACAAGATGGTAAGGAGGGCCCTGTCCCTGGGGGCTTACAATCTAAAAGGGGAGGGGGAAGTGATACATGAGGAGGTAATATATATGATATGGGCACAGACTTGAGTGGCCTGCACAGAACCCTGACCTCAACACTATTGATCACCTTTGGAATGAACCGGAACACTGATGGAACACTGATTGAGAGTCAGGTCTTCCCATCAACATTAGTCCCTGGGCTCGCAAATGCTCTTTTGGCTGAATGAACACAAATCTCACTGAAGCACTTCAAATATTCTGGTAAGGCTGTAGTAAGAATTTCCATAAAAGTAGAGGCTGTTTTAGTTGCAAAAAGGAGAACAACTCCATATTTTTACCTTAGCTTTTGGAGTGGGATGTTCAACAAACTCATATAGGTGTGATGGCCAGTTGTACACAGACATATGACCATACACTATACCACTATAAAACTGTCCCTGTCTTATTTTACCCAGGACTCCAGGAAATATTACTGACTGTAATCTTCCACAATAAACCAACACACCTATTTACTTGGTGCCTCTAAACACCCAATTTGCTTTTAATATATCAATAGCAGCAGTCCCACATTTACTGCTTTGTATTACCCTGCTATTCTTTTACTTTTTTTGGGAATTCCTCATTTACATTATGTTATATATCACTCTGCTTTATCACAATTTCTGCCTTTTTTGTAAAGTTACTGCAGCAGGCTAGTTAATTAGCTCACCCTATGCCTAATTAGGTGCCATATGACTTTGCCTTTTAGCTTCTGTTTTTATTTATTCAATTATTTGTATTTATTACATTTTATAAATGTTTTATATATTTTTTTAAATATTAATATTGTTTGTTAAGTGAACTTATCTGTGTCCACCCTAGAAAATGGTTAAAGTAATAGAGGATTCTCACAGTTTTAAAAGCAATTTGGGAAGATAGGTAAATCTCCCCTACATTTTGTGGAGAGCAATAAAAACCTGAAACTCTAATCTTTTCCTTCCATCCTCTTTCTTCCTTTCTCCTAAAAAATGGTGTCACTGCTGCATGTCTCCCCATAGAAGAGAAGATATTTTTCACAAGAACCCTTCTGTTATATTAAGAAAATATTCATTGAGTTTGTATAATTTTCATCATTCAATAGAGTGATATAAATGTATAGAAGAAATGAATAAGAGTTGATATCAAAGGTAATTAATAGGAGTTGATATAGAGGGAATTGATATCACCAGATATTTTATAATTCACTGATCAGATGTTCACCATTGGAGTTTGAAAAGGCAGCTTGGGCCTAATTCACACATAGCTGCTTGTTTTGGTCAAGGGACAGAAATAAAGAAGATACACTCACCTGATCCTCGGTCCTGCAGCAGTGAATGCTCACCTCTCGACCACTCTGGCTGTGGTGTGTCCCGTATTGTCCTCACATTTAATGGTCTGCATTAGCTATGATGATGCCACAGGTCCTTAAACTGTCAAAGCCCAGGAGAAGAGGCTGCAGGTACCGGTCTAGCAGTCAGACAGGACTGAAGATCAGGTAAGTATTTTTTTTATTTGAAAAAATCCTTTATTGCTCAAATAACAATAATCTGCATTAATCCCTGCATAAAATGAATGGCTAAATAAGCACCCTCTCATCACTCAATTAAAAATATTTAGGAAAGAGACATCTTCGAACTTTCAGAATATAGGAATTAATATTCTGGCATTCTTGGTGCTATATGTTAAAGTTCAGTCTGTCTTGGTAACAAGTTTTGCCCCTCACATTTTTGTAAATATTTTATGATATCATTTCATGTGACGGCACAGAAGAAATGACACTTTGCTACAATGTAAAGTAGTGAGTGTACAGCTTGTATATCAGTGTACATTTGCTGTCCCCTCAAAATAACTCAACACACAGCCATTAATGTCTAAACCGCTGGCAGCAAACGTGAGTACACAGTGTCGTCACATGAAATGATATAATAAAATATTTACAAAAATGTGAGGGGTGTACTCACTTGTGTGAGATACTGTATGTACAAATAAGCCTGCATCCAAACCAACAACAAGACTAATAAGGGTGCCTCCAAGGGTCACCATACACCTTACAATCTTTGAATAATCAACTTTACATTTACCAAAACAATGTAATATGAGGACCTACCTAATCTGTCCAACCAATTTGTATCCCATTAGGTAGGACCTTTCATTACACAGTTGTTGGTAGATCTGAAGGAGATTGTACAATCAGATTATAATGTGAGGTGAGACTTTACAAAGAGCAAATGCTAGCAAGGAATGATACTTTTTTAAGGTGATACTAATGAGAAATATTGCCCCATCTTTTCAGTTTACTTGGTGACTATTCCATGTGCCCATTTTTGGTATACTTGGAAGGTTAGTAAATCTATTCTTCCTCAGAACAGTATAAACTATATACAGAGCCACTTCTGGATGGATTGTTTCATGAGAAAGGCTTCATAGTCTATCATATCTTGCCTTACATATGTCAAGTCAAATCTTTTTAAGTTTTAGATAGAGTAGGGAAGGATAAACCCCCTATCAGGTTATGTTTGCTGCCTGTGTCATGGTGGGGAGATTTTACTTTAACTCTTGTAGTCACAGCAGGAAATGAAAATTATAATTTTTCGGATTAATCGGATAAAAAAAATTAAATACCATCCTTTATTTAAAATGAAATATACAAATGGAGTGTTACAAACATAAAGTTTACTTCAGAATAAAACTACATGCACATTTATGCAATTGAACCACACTGAAATGCGTGGCATTGCAGTACCGCACGTTCCAGTGAGGGGGATCACACTGCGGGCGGGAGGCATGTTTGGGCTGCCATTGAAATGAATGGCACCATAATGCACATCCCGCAGCAGAATTTGTCAAGCCGAAACCAAGAATGACTCTTCCCACCTTTTTATATTTAAAAAAAATTTATTGTATGTATTATAATGTATTATATTGTAAATTTTAATTATTCTCATGGATTTAAAATAATCTGAATTGAAATACTCCAAGCCAATATAATAAAATAACCAAACTTTTATTTAAAATGACACACCAAAATTGGACAAAAAATACAAATATATATATAGTAAACTCCCTGTTATCCGGAATATAACTACGGTAACCAGAAAAAATCCCCTGTGTACTCACTGTTCTAATGTTCTGACCAGTCATCAATTTATAGTTAGTCATTTATATTGACATGAAAATGATTGCTCTCCCTTTGGCACACTCAGCGATACCTGACATGTGTAGCGCAATTGTTTAGTATGGCTGCATTCGCGGAGTCGGGGGACTTAAAATTTTTGGGGGCTATTTTTAATTTAATTTTACTTTCTTTTTTTTTTTTACCTTATTGCTATCACACCAGCAACTCACAAGCCCCCTATGTGATAGCACATTGGAGGTGACAGGTTCTATTTAAGGTGACATTAGGGATCTATTAGGCCCCTAGTGTCACCTTTCCACTGGGGAATGACAGCTACCTGCTGAGGCAGCTGAATTTAAACACAGCAGGCAGTGGCTGGGAGCAATAGACAGCCTACTATTGGCTATTTTAAATTGCAGCATCAGAGGAGTTCATTATCGATTATCATCGATTAAATTCATTCGTTTTTGCAGCCCTACAAAGGAGCCACCCTAAAAGCAGCATCCATTGTAAGTTATTTATTCAGCATTTGAAATAGCTTAAAAAACCTTTTGACTGCAGTCGTAAGTGGAGTCTGCAGGGCAGAGTCATCTCCTTTTTACATTTCCCGATGACTCTAGCTACAATATCACCTAATTATAGTTTACAATTCAGTATCTATCTACCTTCTGTTACAGAAAGTGCATTCCCACTTCTTATAAGGCATTCTTTATAACATAAAATAAAAAACCAGCGAGCAGAATTGGGCCCCAGGGCTGCAGAAATTATACTGCCAGAATATTTGAGGGACAGATGAACATTATTAAGTTTTGCCCAAAAACAAATAACACTTTTGGATCGACTGACCTATGAAGGTGCAATAATATTGTATAAAAATGTGTCATTCTGCTTTGGGAACACCAAGATCATTTAAGGAAGAAAGAAATGTAAGTGGATGATTATTTGTTTATTTTGTAAGATCCGGTATTTTCACAAAAGACATAAGAACCTGACACCTAGCATGTATCATTACACCGTAAAAGACTAATTTCTGACAAAGTTACAAGGGTGTGGACAGGATGACTGTAAAGGCCATTGTCATCACACCTAACATGAGGTTCACACATAAATAATTACATGGTCTTATGAGATGACTAAGCTACTGAAATAATTATCTAAGTACTACAGCTGAGGCAGACCTCTCCGCTGGCAAGTTCAGTCTGAGTTTTCCAGCCCTTCGATGCTTTTGTAATTATGTGTTTACAGCCTGTGTTTTTCCCCATGTACTAGACCAGCCTACCCTTCC